ACAGTGCAACCAGCAAAAAAAACGAGCGGGTTGTCACAGTGTCACATCAGTGCTGTGTAGAGTTCACACAGGGGTCTGATGCAGGTCACATTTAAAATGTAATGTGAACGTTCACACAAAAAGATCGGATTTTTTCAAAAAATCGGAACTGAGCATTAAGACCTGCAGTGTGAACGTAGCCATTGTTCTTGGGCAAGGACAGACGAGTGAAAGGACAGGGGCACTTCAGGGGGCCAATCAGATTTCAGATGGGGCCAGTTCCCCTGTGGCCCCGCCCCTAGAAACGCCCCTGCCCCATACATTCCTCCCTTCAAGACGAATGTGCTGCTGACGTCAAAAGACCCACTTCTTCTTTTTTTATTTCTCTCAACGTAAAATTACCAGCCTTGCAAACAAACAATGAGCTGTGGCAAGCGCGTGCATGCGTGCGTGCGTGCGTGTGTGTGTGTGTGTGTGTGTGTGGTGAATCTTTACTGTGCAACAAAGATGTGAATGAATGCGAGAAAGTAGCGAGTCCAGAAAAAGCAGTTTTTGCCATTGATTTCTGCTGAAAACTCTTTGTTAGGACGAACTGTCAGGCCTGTCGTTGGCAGTGCAATTTGCAGCTCTTCCTCTTTTGCTTCTTGCTTCAGTCTTTGTTGTAAACATCATTACGCCGCGTGTAATAATGGGGAATTATGTTGCCTTTTTTGTTAACTCTTAGTTGTCAGGTAAAAAAAGCAACAGGCCCATTATGTCAGCAAACGAACAGCACGCAGCACTTAATTAGGAGTTCAGTAAAGACTCTCTTTTCTCAAAGTATTTCAGCTTTTTTTATATACACTCATGCAGCAGAGCGGGCTTTTATCATACGGCTTGTGCTCATTGTGTTATCTCCAGCAGCAGGCTGGGCTGCAAAAACAACACAAACTCTTTAATCTCCAGTTGTTTGCTGAAGGATCTGGTTCTGTTGGACTAGATCGCAGCTGAGGTCATAATTGGCAAAAAAAAGAAGCATCTTTTGCTTGTGTTTAGAGTTTGTAAAACAAAATCATGTTGAGCTAAATAAGTTTAACTAAATAGAAGTTGTGCATTTTTAGGCACAAATAGTGCAGCAAACACTTGTGAGTTGTTTATTTTAATGACAAAATGTATTTATGTCTTCAAAACACAGCAGAGGAACTATGTGATATAAATGACATTTTCCACTTCTTTTTGGGAGAATCATTAGTATCAAAAATGTTTCATTTTAATAGGTTTTACACAGATTATCTCGTTAAGCAGATGATTTAATCCGGGGCCATCAAACGGGGGGTGTCTGGAAAAAGACAAAAAAAAGCCCCGCCCTGGGGTTGTTTGAGTCCCACACTCTGCCAGATGAGTTCCCAGATTTGTTCCTCTTATCTGACTGATCAGGAAAATCACCTGAAAGCATGCTGACTTTAAAGCACACACATTTTACACCCCCTGCAAATCTCCTAACAGCCTCAATCCTATATTTTTAGCTCCGTGAATCAAAAATCATCACTGAGGGAAAAAAACAGGGAGGAATTTATATTCTTTTTTCCTTTGATGTAGATGAACCTAATCTGTTTCTTAATTAAATATGACCAGTTAAAACCCASTAAAATGCATTTATATTCACACTATAATTAACTACACCATTTAATGTTATTTAGTATTACTTGGTACAATGTGTGAATTGAAATAGTGTTGATATTAGTCACTGTTTTCTCATCAGGGTGAGCAAATTCAAAAACTTTGGAGCCTGTTCTGTCCAGTATGGACCCAACATGACTCTGTTTCTATAAAAGGCATGAAATGTAGACCGCCAGTTTAAGTAGGGCTGCTTTTTTTTTTCTTACAAAAGATTAGGGACATAATCTGAGCCACGTTTTTCAAAACACCGTTGAAATGCATGATCGCTTGGAATTACGTTGCAAAAATTCAATGCAAAATACYGTTATTCCAAACCATTTGTTTTACTTAGTACCACCCAGTTTGTTCATTTATTTATTTAGGACCTGGTTTCTGCAGGGGTTCACAAAGCTACAAAACAAACAAAAAAAAATAGAAATAGGGGTGCGAAGGGTGCTGCAGCACCTCCTCCTGGAGGTCAGAGAACATGCATGTCCAAATTCGTAGTTAAAGAATTGCTGAGAACAATGTGCATGTGTTTAATTAAACAATATTTAGATTTTTATTGGTTTTTTTTTTTTAGTTTTGTAAAGCAGCATTGTGATCTGTGTGAAAAACGTTTCAGCTGCTTAAAATGCACAAAAAAGTGTGCAGATTGTTTTTAAATCATTATGAGACTTTTTTAAGGTCCTTTTTGCCTGAAATACTCATGTTTTTAATGTTCAGATAAGACAACGTAATGAACTTTGTGTTGCTGTTGATCAAAAACCTCTTTTTTGTGTCGTAGTCATGTATTTACACAAATGTATTTATTTGTCACCCCGTTTGTAGTTTTATTGATGGGAAACCAAGAACTCACAACACTGCTTGTCGTTTTCTGAAAGTTTTCCCATTTTTTTCATTAGATTAACCAGATTATTTGACAGCAATCATGTGTTTAAAGTCACAGAACCCCCAACTAAAGCATATTTTCAAGCTATGACCGTAACCTGAGCAATATTCTCAATCTGAAAACAAAAAAAAAAAGAAATTGAAAAGCATTAAACTGGATTTAATAAAAATAATGAAAAATACTGTTTTGTTTTTCAGTTTAAGGCCTTGAGATGACTGTTAATAACTAGCAGCATGTAATTTATTATTTTTTTTACTTGAAGCTATAGTAACTCTTTGCATTGTGTGCCACTCGCAGCAGATCAAACTGAAGCCAGGAGCATGTTGTGAACACGTTCTGTCTGTCTGTGTCCCACAGGGAAGCCAGATCAAACAGATTCCCACCAAATACAGCCAGGGCGAGTCCACCAAGTTCCTCGTCCTCACCGTGGTGTCCATCCTGTGCATCGTGGGCGTGCTGCTCGCCTCCACCGTGGTCTACTGCCTCCGTCACCGCTCCCACCACAAGCTGAAGGAGAAGCTCACCAACCTGGGCACGGACACCGGCAGCGATGCTACTGCCACCTATCAGGTAGGAGGTGTTACTGCARCTGTGGTCAACTGGGATTTATCAATGTGTGGCTGTGGGGGAAATAAACAATTTAAAATTAAAAATCGCAAAGAAAAACTTAGTTCTACTTTATTTTTTCTTATTTAGTCATGGAACTGATAAGATAAGATCATAAAAACTTTATTGATCCCACAGTGGGGAAATTTGCACATCACTGCAGCTCAATACAGGAGAGGGTAAGATAGAATAAAGAAAGATAAATAAAAGTACTATGTAAACTATGTACGTATACCAATGCACATGGATTGTTTTAAAGGGAAATGTAGCAGAATGTTTGCCTGATACCTTTAACAGAGAAAAGCTTCCTGTGCTCTGATTGGTCGACTCCTCTGGCCTCAGCAGCAACTTCCTGTCATCTCATTTGTGTAGCTG